CGATTGAGGAATTGAATAAAGGAGAAAGGTTGTTTATTTGAGATATTCAGCGAAAAAAAAAAAAAAAAAAAAAAAAAAACTAATCTTCTCTGTAACAATTCATTACTTTCAATTGATTTTGTGTAATCACACAGAGTCATGTTAACTACCTCGAACGTCTTGTTACGGATGACAGATTATTTAAGGAATAAATACACGAGAATTGCACACTTTAAATTCTCGCCCCTTCACAGTAATTAAAACAAAATAGAGTTAACATAATTGTATTGGCTTCTCTCCTATGACAATAGTTTTAGACATAATTCTACATAATTATTCAACACGTTGAAACATTCGTAAATTTTTATTACGTAACACGGAACAAGCTTCACAGTCATGTGACTTTAAAGCAAAACACAATAAGAAAATAAATTCAAACCAATTACTGCGCTGAATTAGTATCAATAATTTGCGCCTACATTCAAAGGCTTAAATTATTGTTTACGAAGCTTACTTTCTACAGGTTTTAGGCATACAGTCTGCTTTTTATATGGCAAATGTGTTTAATAAAACTTTCAAGCTTTATCTTAATGAACAAAGATTTCTGCTTTCCTTGTAAATGCTCGCTATATTAATATTTACTTTCGATTTAAGTTGTTTATGTTACACTGTATGCATTAAGGTTTTAAACTCGGGGCTGGTACAATATTTAAAAAATATTATTGTTTTCGGAGATTGATTTAGTTTAATCTAAATAGTTGGACTAATAATACTAATTGCTGGCAGTAAACGCTCTCTTAATTCATTTACAAGTACCAAACTACATTTAATATCCTATTGTGTGTAACCTTCCCCTTTTGCGCAACAGCCTGTAACGAATACCGAGAACAATTAACATATTTAGTCGCTCGCTTTACAAAGAGAAAAATTTGTAAGCATTTCGATACTGGTATGAATAAGTGGAACAGGAAAACTAATGGGCATGATCCAAACTTTTTATTCCCCACCCCAATGCAATGCAGTCTTGGCTATTTAGAATACGTACGCTGTTTCAAATCGCAATAAGTAGATAATCTATTGAAAAGTTATTCGTGCATACCTACGATCATTTCTATATTTGTATGTACCAATTAGATTTAACCGTTAACCGTCGAATAGTCTCATTTAACTTTCGATTATAGTAATAACCGTTCCGTTTCATGTCTGTCTTTCTATTTATAAAATACTGCAGAAGTTTACAAGTACAGCGGCTTACGTATTTGCAGCAGAAATCGAGACGTAAAACTATTTATGTCACATGACATAAATCTGAACAGATTGGTATACTGTACGTATTATATCTCTACGCATGACTCATCTTCATACGCGATTATTGCATGCTTAATTCCCTCGCTGTCAAATAATCAATGCACTATCTACGGATGCGGAGGTGATTAGAATATACATATTTTGACAACATGGTATGGTTCTCCATTTAAACTCTGTCTGAAAGCGTTGATCAAATATGATATTTCTAATAGTATGAATATTTTTCTACACAGCCAGCACAATTACAATAATTGCCTTGTATATAATTGTGTGGCTTGTGCGAAAAGCTTAATCAGAGTTTAGTCCAGTTGCAAGCATTGATAATCTGAAAAAAGAAAGTTATAGAGTTACCGTTCTAACAACTTGGTTACCAAATATAGCTGATTATTGGGTATTTTGTATAGGAAGAAGGATCTACGTCTGAAAACCAACATTTTGTTATCGTAATATAATAGGCCGTCTGTATATTAAATCGGATGCTATCTCAGATTTATCGGCATTTACAGCGATAATAAGTTTGGTATTAACATGCCTACTTTTATAATGCCCTGCGTGCCATAAGAATATTAGCAACATTATTAAAAATTATTAGATCTTATTTACCATTGGTGCACTATGATAAACTATCTTCTACTTTACTGAACTGCGGTGGTGCTCTAATTCTTTCTGTACATTACGGATAAAGTTTTCTACAAAAAAAAAAAGCTAATATGCTAAATAATGTTATCATGACACTGCGCACTACATAACGCAGCGGTTATTGTATCCATGATGCTGTCTGCTGACGTTTATTAATTGCGGGATTGCCGCGCTCAAATTAGGTAAGATTTGGATTATGTCATAATATGGGCATATCCTCGCGATTGGCATCTTCCGAATGCACGGACAGGTCAGACAATAATGGATAACAACGGAAGTGAGTTAACCATTCGGTGTGCCAAATCTTTATTGAATTGGTGTGTAAAAATGCGTAAATATAAAGTACTCGAATCGTATAGACGTTCTGGTGGTGCATTAAGTCTGTGGTAAACATAATTAATAAAGTGTCAAGTCTACAAAATTTAAACCGTACTGTTCACCCAACTCTTGTATATGCAGGGTATTATTGTACAATCACCCGGGGAGTTGAAAATACTATGAAATAATCGTATCGTTCTATCACATACTTTTGTTTGTTTGTTCGTCCTTTATTGCGTTATCATATCAATTTCCAGAATTTTTAATACAAACTTATTCAATCTATCTAATCATTTACAATCATTGTTATCGGTTAAATCGCAATAAAGCAGGATCTTCGTAGTATTTTTTTATTAGCAATTATGTATGTTTTTAAACCCTGGCTGTCACCTTAACCCGTATCATACATTGATTATCATATCTGACATTGAGCAGATTACCTTGAGTAGAAATATCGATACAAAGTGTAACCAGAATCGAGTAAACATAATGTAAACATACGAAATTTCCTAATTTCCTACAGCTTATTCGACCAATACTATTCGTGTATCTATTTGTTGTCTTCCCATCACCAATTAAGCACAAGAACAAATAGATAAGCATCGTGTACACATCGTATATTATGTTCAAGTGATCACGCCAACACATGTCTAGTTGTATGTGCAACTTTTAGAAACCACTCTTGGACAGTTCAAGATACAAATACATAAACAAGCCCCTACACTTATGACCATGCATTTTGCACTGTCTCCCACTTGTTATGATCATATTAAAAGGTATAAATATGGTTATCGGTTTAATTGCGTTACATGTGATTGAATACGTAATAACTTGCGTAGCGTTAATCAATAATTGATTGGTGGATCATTTTTACACAGCGAAAAATGCATATAGTCTAACATGACTGTCATAACGAGGGTTGACTGTTGGGAGATGAATATTACAGACGCCAAGACATGGTTTATTTTACACTTTTGCCTTACGAACTAATGCGTAATGGTTAATTAAACTCATTCCGTAATTGACAATAATGGTGAGAGCATGGTTAATAATTGATCTCCAAAGCTCAAATGTCATTGGCATGTATATATACTTACTGCGAGAGTTAGATTGAGTGGGAATACAAATCTGATTAAACTACTCTCATTGAATAAAAATGGTATTGTATGCGTCACAGATTGCATCCACATGGGTTGTCTCATTAACTGTAATATACGAGCATTTAACTTGAGCCGGTTTTTCTAGTTGCCATATTTCGATGTAGGATTTGTTTGTGACTAGTCTCTAATTATTGATAGACTCGGTTCGGACGACAATGTTTCCAATCCATGCATAAAGTTGCTTGTTGCATTGAGAGACCGACTCTAATAGATATGCTTAAAAAATAAGGAACAAAGGGTCAGTAAATGCACAAATGTTAGCGATTATACGAAACGTTGTATGATCAATCTTGCATTTATTCTTACTGTTCATTCTTACTACTTGCTCTCTTTATGCCTGCAACGTTCCATCTGTCCAAGTACAAATATAGCGTGGAGCAATCAAGCATGAGAACCAGGACCCTATTATGAAATTTAAGTTTGAAACTTGTAAAGATGCAATGATAGTTATTGACTTATTAATCGTAAATATATTTATAATATTAATAAGTATGTACACATGGTACAACGACTATTTTAAACAACATTCTTACTTGTACTTTATTGGTGTACGCAGTTTACACCGATGGGCCGGGTTGCATTACAGTAGGACGTATAAATAATAGATGTATGTATTAGTATTGGTATAGTATATAATTTATGTACTATATGATTGTAACTGCTATTGCACTATAGCATTGGCATTGCTAACACTCATACTAATTATTCCCAATTAAATCGACTCCTCGTAACTTAATCCCATGTATTACTACATATTTAATTTTAACCTTCTTTTTGCTGTCATCCATTTTTACTCGTTTTTTCTCTTTCCGGCCGGGTTGGCTAATCCCCTCCTCTCTCCCCCCGCAATTACTCTTTTCTTCATTGGCTGGTAACACGAGCTTTTGGTTTGTGCCCAAAATTAAAATTTCACCGTCACATTCACCAATTGCATGCTGGACAAGCATGTCTTAATAAACCAACTAAAGTAACAAAACGTACATTTAAAGTAGGAAATATATGCCAATATATTTTATTTCAAATAGGTATTACCAAACTTGCACTCATGCATTCCCTCCTTTTTCCGTTGCTCATATGTCACAGAAAATAAATCAATATAATCCTACCATATTCGATTACCACGATAATTTCTCTCTTTTCTCTCTTTATTTAATTAATAAATTCTTGTTCATATTGCCCGTTTCTTTCCCTTCAACGCTAATCTCATCGCTCTGCTCACTCAGGGAAAGTTCCATAACGACCCGCACGACCACAAAACAAAACACACACTTACTAATTTATACACACACTTGAACCCTTCCTTTGACCAGGAGGTTTACAAAGAGCAATCTACAATATTCACTCTGAGAAGAAAAAAAAAGCTGGAAATAATCAAAAACGAAAAAAAGTATAGCTCGTCGTTTAGAAGTATTAAAAAAAAGGAGAATTAATAGAGAACCGCAAACAACCTCTACAATTGACAAAGATATTAACATCATCGTACGTTCAGCAACCTTTTCCTCCCTTCCCCCACTTGTATACATACATAACAACAAATCAAATTTATAGCAAAAACGCATTGTAATATCCTATTCTACTAGATTATATATATAAAACATGGCCACTGCCGGTTCGGGCTCAGAAAAGACTTCTGTGCAAGTCGGTAAGTGAACAAATACTGACATACAAAGACAGCAGACACATTTGTGTGTGTGTGTGCAATGAATAAAAGGAGATTGAGATGCTAATGTCTCTCTGGTCAACCAAAACTTTCCTGATTTCATTGACACACATATTTACCGCTGAACACTATATTTCTATCAATTCGGCCAAGTTTGCTAATTTTCTCTTTTTCTTTTGTTTCCTAATCTTACTCAGCTCTACGTATACGCCCGTTGACTGCTCAAGACCTTGTCACTCTGCCAAGTCGCTTTCAACGTAATGTTGTACATACATCGTCGTTTTCACCTAATCAAGTCACAGTCCAAGGCGAAAAGAGACAAACCTTTAATTTCGACTGTGTCTTTGGACCCGACTCTACGCAAAAGGAGGTTTATGACAAGATTGGAGTAGAATTGGTTGATAAGTTTCTAGAAGGTGAGTTCTTGTTTGGTATGATATTTTACGTAATGTGTCCGTTCGTGTCACATTTAACACCCCGCACGCTACGTAATGATCTGCATTAATTTTATATTATCGGAAAATACGATATACAGCTTGCTGTATGTAGAAATATGGGCACTTTATTAAATTCTCTCCACCTTCCCTTCAAAACATTCAGGATACAATGTGACTATTCTAGCCTATGGCCAAACTTCTTCTGGAAAGACTTTCACAATGGGTACTGCTGACTCGCCCTCACAATCAAGCGACTCTCAGGGTATTATCCCTCGTGCAATGAACACCCTCTTCGGTTATATAAATTCCGCGCAATTCAGATCTCGCAAATTTCAAATGAAAGTCTCGTTTATCGAGATTTATAACGAAGAGTTGATAGATCTGCTTGCAGAAGGAGATGAAGACAGCAGACCACAAGTAGTCATCAGAGAGGACTCGAAAGGAAACATTTTGTATTCGGGAGTGAACGAGATTCGAGTTAACAGTGTTGAGGAGGTCATGGGGTAAGCATCAAGACAATAAGAGAATAAAAAACAGAAATTGCGTTGAAGCGGGTAAAAAGATATAGTATGATCTATATACTATCAACATTGACTTTTTCTCCCATACTGACCAACATTCTATTTAAAGTCATCTAGCCCGTGGCTCACTAGTTCGCCAAACTGGTGCAACAGACATGAATGCTCAATCCTCTCGTTCGCATGCGTTATTTTCCATCACACTTTCTCAACAAAAGTTAATCTCCGTAACATCTCCGCAGTCAGCGACTCGCCCATCGACACCAACAAGAATATCATCGAGAGCAGGCTCGAGAATGAGCAAGAAGTTTGATGATGGTGATTGGGTTCAGGTTACGAGTAAATTTCATTTCGTCGATTTGGCTGGAAGTGAACGGGTAAGTTTAAGATAATTATAATAGGTTAGACATAAAAGTTAGTGTCAGGTAATGAATGCGTTTAGATAGGCTCGATCTGGGAACACGGGGTTACAAATTTAATCAATTTTGAAGACGGAAGCATCTTCTGATTACAGACGGTTACATAGCACTACCTTCCTATCTCGTGCAACGTTTCTTCTGCATGTGGAGATATTGGATTGACGACTTGCATGCATAAATATATAACTCGTCAAATATAACTCGTAAAATATAACTCGTAATATATGCACTAACTTTTGTTCTAATTTTCTTTTACTCTCGCTGATTGCTCTATCGGCTTTACACACGATTTGTTCACTATTCCGTAATGACTTTCTCCGCGATCGACAATTGGATCACTCTGCATTAGTTAAAACGCACATCAGCAGTAGGCGATCGTGTGAAAGAAGGTATCTCTATCAACTCTGGTCTCCTTGCTCTTGGAAATGTCATCTCAGCCCTTGGTGATCCCAACAAAGCGAGACATACCACTCATATCCCATATCGGGATTCTAAACTCACTCGACTTTTGCAAGACTCTCTTGGTGGCAATGCTCAAACTCTCATGATTGCCTGTGTCTCCCCAGCAGAATACAATATCGCTGAAACGGTAAACACATTAAAATATGCTAATCGAGCACGAAACATCAAGAACAATGCCGTAGTCAACCAGGAAGAATCCGGATGGAATGATGTTGACCATCTTCAGGGATTGGTGTTGAAGTTGAGAGAACAGATTAGGATGTTAAAGACTAGCACTGGGTTTGATAGCGGAAGAAGTACTCCAACATTGACGAATGGATGTGATTCACCACAGCACTATAGAAGATCGTCGACGCCTTTGAGTTTTGTTACTAACGGTGATAAAATGAAAAAAGATTCTGATATCGAAGCGTTAGAAGAGGAGCTCTCTAATTTACGGCTTTCGTATCAAGAGCTAACGCGGAAACACGCAAAGGTGGCTGCAGAGCTTGCCAAACATCAAGATAACGCTGATTATGCCGAAAGTACTACTCCTTCTCCGCCGGGAAATAGCCAGCCAAGTTCACCAAAACATCTCAGCTCTATAAAAGAAGAAGACGAGGCAAGACTTGTCGGTCGTCAGACATCAGACTCGTTCCAACAAGCAGTAGAACCTGTAATTGAAGAATACGAAAAGTCAATTTCTGCTCTCGAGTCTCAGCTCTCCCTTGCTCGTGCCGAATTGAATCATTCCGAAACGAGCGCAAGTGAGAAAGAAACTAAATTACGCGAGGCTGAACAGATGATCGAAGAAAACGACACTGTTATCAACACTCTACGAAACAAGGTTGCCAAATTAGGCGAAAGGGAGCAGACTAATGAAATGTACATTAAAGATCTTGAACGTAAATTGGAATCTCATGCAGATGACCAAAAGAAAGATCAGAATACAATCACGGAATTACGCGCAAAGATTCAGCAATTAAAGACTACTAGCGCAAACAGCGAGAGTTACATAAACGACTTGGAGTTTAAATTGTCGAGAAGCGAAGACGCTAAAAAGAAATTTGCGCAAACCATCGAGAGGTTGGAAAAGAGATTACAACAAAGAGAAGTTGATATCCAAAAGTTGGAAGAGAAACTCAAGGCCGCAGAATCTCAGAATGAGGATATTGTAAAAATAAGCAATCGTGATAAGCGCATCGCTCAGCTAGAAAGCCAAGTAGAAGAACTCATAAGCAAACTCGACAAATTCCGCAACGGTACCAACTCAACGTCTACGTCATCCAACGCGACGACTGAGGAAGCAGTTTCGGTTGCTGCCAAACTCGCCGCTCTTCAGGAAACGCACCAAGTAACTATCACTGAATTTACAGACCTCAAAGCCAAGTACGCAGCATGTATAGATGAAATTAATGAACTGATTAGTCAACTCCATGAAGCAAAACTTGTACGTATCGAAATGACCGACGCTACTGCACCAAACAGTCCCGCTCTGATAACTCCTCGAAGTGCTCCTCCGTCTTTTGGCGACAATGATTTGCTTTCGGCAACCAGTCGTATAGCATTACGTAAAGCGAGATCTCTATCTGCTGAAATACAAGGCGCCGCCGACAGACGTGATGCGACCGCTGAAGCCATAGTTCAGAAACTCCAAATCGAACTCAAGCAACTTGAATCCCTACATGACGATAAAGCGCAAGGATTGGAGGCCGTAAGGCAAGAGTTTGCAAGATTGGAAATGAGCCATCGTGAAGCAATAGAAATTGTCGAAGAACTCCGCGAAGAAATTAAACACCGTGACGCTTTGGCCCGGATGCAAGTTATGTCTGTCATGAATACCGAGCATGGCAACTATAGGACAAATTCTACGACTGCTAGCGAAGTTGATCAATTGGAAATTGTTCAGAGACTTCGCGAGGAAGTTGAACAGCTCAAGGAAGAACAGAGAAAAACCATGGAAGTAATGTCAGAAAAGAAGGATCACAAACACGATGTAGTAACCAAGCTAGAGAATGAGATAAAATCTCTAAAGTCGGAATTAAAACGTGCCATCGAAGAAAAAGACGCAGCATTGAATGGAAAGAATGACAATGAGCGAGTAGCTGAATTACAGTCCAAGATGAATGTTCTCGAAGAAGAGTTGGAAAAAGCTCATGCCGTGGAACGCGAGGAAAACATTGCCGCTGCTACTGCTCGACTTGAGGGTTCTAAAACTCCAGACGATGACAAGCAAGAGAGCGAAATGGTTGCACTTCGTGAGCAGATGGAGAAATTGCAGACTGAGATCGAAGCCAAGAGTCACACTATTGCTGCATTGTTGATGCCTGCATTTGATAGTCAACACGTTATCCGTAGATTGGAAGACGAGTTGCAACAAGTTAAAGAAGCTCAGCGCCAACTATTGGATAGCAGGAACAAGAGTAATGCGTCTGACGAAAAAGTTGAAGGCGACTCTGTCAAGGTCGAAGCCGAAAGCACTGAAGCCGAAATCGCTGAAGCCGAAATCGCTGAAGCCGAAATCGCTGAAGCCGAAATCACGGAAGCCGAAATCACTGAAGCCGAAAGCACTGACACCGAAAAGATTCAAGATTCCGCAGATTCTGGTACCTCGCCTGATGACAACAATGACGTAATGAAAGTTCTCGAAGCTAAAGCTAAAGAACTCTCAACACAACTTGCAAAAGCCAAGGAAGCTCAACACAGCCTTACTCCACGCAACTCTCAATTTTCCATAGCCGATCCGACGCAAAAATCTTTTGATACTTTGCAAGAGAAACTTGTCACTTTACAAACTCAGATTACTTCACAGGCTGTTCAGGATGAGTCGATGAAACCTATTGCCGACATGGTTACTGTATTACAAGGCCACTTGAACACCTTGAGAGTTGATATTAAGAGAAAGTATGACTTGATTGAAATCTTAAAGAGAGACTTACTAGATAAGGGACTCTTACAACAGAAACTGAGAGAGAAGGAAGAAGAGGCCACTGCGATCAAGACTAAATTGGAAGATGCTCAAAATGCCGAAGAAGAAGTCATGACTGAAATGACATCCTTCATGGAAGAACTAAAGGCTGCCCGTGATAATGCACTCGCCGAACTGTCCACAGTCAAATCTGGATTTTCAGAACAGAAGCAACTCGTAGTCAAACTCGAAAATGAACTCAAATCCGTCCGCGAAGAACTCGTCGTCGCCAAGTCCAGTTCCGAAGAACTCGAAAAACTTTTACAAGAAACCATCAGTCAACGAAACGAATCAGAAAAACGAGTAAAGCGTCTCGAAATAGACGTCGAATCTTTCAAAGTTGGTGGCGGTACTGATGTAGATGCAGTCAGGGATCAACTGATTAGTGCTAGACATCAGGTGGAAGACCAAAACGAATTAGTGCTTGAGCTTGAAGCTCAAATAGCCACCATCGAGGGACAAAGAGATGAGAGTTTGCAACGTATTTCTGAACTTGAGAGGACGCTAAATGAGAAACAAACTCTACACGAAGAAGCAGTTGGATTGTTGGAATCTGTTCTAGTTGATTTGAAGAATGAACTCGATGAGATTAAAAAAATCAAACAAACTTGAACAAGACACTGTTACCGCGCTCGAAGGCAATCTCACTACCGTTCAGTCTCAACTTGAAGCCGCTCGAAATAGTGAAGAAAAGAAAAATAAAGTCGTATCTGATTTAGAAAGCAAGCTTGGTGTAGTCCTTAACGCTCTTAAAGACAAAGAACAAGTTCTCGCTGCGAGGTCTGCCGTCATAAGCGATCTCGGAACGGCAGTATCTCAAACGCGCGTAGAGCTACAACAGGCCAAGTCTGCAAGTATTTCCGATCTCAAGGATAAACTGACTGAGGCAGAAACTAAACTCACGTCCAAGGAAATCACAATAGCCGATCTTGAAGCTGCTGCTTCCAAAACACAAGAAGAACTCGAGAAATTACGTTCCACGGATGCAAAACAGGGTGAATTAATCAAGTCTCTCGAAGGAAGACTTGCTACCGCTGAATCTGCTCGCGATGACGAAATAGCAAAACTAAAAGCAGCCCAGAAAGAGATAAACGACTTGAAACTCCAATGTAATCAACTCCAGAATGAAATAGACGATGCCCAACGTGATTCGCTTATTCAATCCTACGAAGCAGTTGACGACGCTTTAGTGGAAGATTTGACCAATCAATTGAAGAAAGCTCACAGTGAGTCCAAGTCTTACCGGGATCGTGCTTTCGAATTTGAACAGCTGGTCAAGCAGCTTGAGCTTGAGAATCAAGAACAGCTTGGTAAAAATGACGAACTCGCGAAGCAAGTAGAAATGTATCAGAAAGATTTCGATTCTCTTGCAAACGAATTTACCGACGTAGAGTCGAAATATGGGGATGCAAAGGAATTATCAAAGAAGCAGAAAGCCCAAATTGCAGAACTTGAAGCAGCATTGGAAGTAGCCAGACGTTCCACTGGGAAAGCCGACATTCAAATTCCGACGCGTGGTTCTGGTCTTGTTAATTCTGCATTAGCTAATCTTGCAGCAGCCAACGAGAATCTTCGTCATACTAATGACGCGCTGAATGCCAAAATAACCGAGGCGGAAGACCACGCTTTCAAGTTAAACGAAAAGATTAGATCTCTCGAAACCGAGTTCTCTGAACTGAAATCTATTGGCGGTTCCAAATCAGTAGATGCGCTGAACGCCAAGATTCGATCACTTGAGGACGAGCGCGATGAATTAAAGCAATCGTCTGAGGAAGAAAAGAAAAAACTCGACTCTAAAATCGAAACACTCAGAGGACAATTACGTACTGCTGGTCTTGGCGGAAACAAGGCAGCTCAAGCAATTGCTGATCTCAACGCTAAGATTGCCTCTCTCGAACATGAGCAACAACGTTCTCGAAAAGAATCTGATGAAATGGAGAAAGAGATTGAACGTTTACTTGAGCTAAATGACAAGCTTGAGACTGATATGAGAAAAGTCGAAAAAGAATCTTCCGGGTCTTCTACTGCTCGTGGTACTAACATTGACTCGAACGCTTCTGGATTCTCGACAGGCTCTCTACAAACCAAATTGCACAAACAAGAGTCTACCATTACACAGCAGAATGGGTTTATTAAAACATTGCAAGAGAAAATTGCAGAGCTCGAAAGGAAAGCATTGGAGTACGAGTCCTCATCCGCCAGAATATCTAATATGGGCATGTCAGGTACAGATCTTGATGCAGTCGGTGGGCTTCGTTTGTCGACATCATCTGCATCATCAGATGTTCCTACTAGTACCAAGAAACCTACTCGGCAGACTATTACAAGTACAATAGTGAAAGCACCTCCACCAATGCCCCCGCCGAGTCATCCTCCACCGCCGCCTCCGACAGCATTGCCTCCAACACCTAATTCTCCGCCCTCGACACCTAACGGAAGCATACGAAATACAATGCCTCGTTCTCCTGAAGCAACAAATGCTCATACAGAGCTTGCATCTGAGATACAGAGACTTCACAAGAAGATTGCGTCGATGGAAGGAGAAACTCTTTCTAGTCGTCAGCAAGTTGACAAGTTGAGGTCACAATTAGCCGATTCTGAAAGTGAGATCCGCGTTGCCAAGAAGCAATTCGGAGTAATACAGAAGGATAAGGCAGAGTTACAAGAGAGGATTAAGAAATTAGAAGCGGAATTGAGTGAGGCCAGAGATCAAGTTGAATATACAAAGAGTGCTGTACAGAGGGAAAAGAAGGAATTGGATGATCGGGTTAAGGAGGAGAGAATAGCTAAAGAAAACGCCGAAAAGGCCAAGCGGCAGTTAGAGAGTAGAATGGAGGAGTTGATTGCTAAGAGGAACAAGTTCATGTGTTTCTAATGGACTTTAACATGGTGTATTAGTGATTTAATAGTTACGTTGTCGAATTGTTTGTTAATTTAGTTGTATTTTTTACTTAATTAGTTATCATTTCGTTTAAATTTAAACTGCGCATCATATAGATAAAAAGTCGAAACTATATTATTTTTTACCTTTATTTTATTCATTTTCTTCATATAAAGTACATATTATTTCCATTAAGTATCTAGTTTCTTTTAGCAAACCATTGTATTTGTATGTATATTTTCGGATTCTCTCTGAGTGAATAAATTCCACACTAAATATAATCAATGACGTTGGTGAATATCATAATTGAAATAACAAACCCATGGAACACACCGAGTGGGACCAAAATGTATACTAAAAAAAGCGTAGTAAATTACCAGAAATTTATTACCGGTTAAGCAACGCGACGCAGCGCGCGTCTGTATGAATAGAACGTCGTAGAATATCCTACATTCAATCATTGATACGAAGCCAGATTGTACAGTAGTAATTATTTTTATCATACTCGTTTCAACCTGAACTTGAATTACGCCATTGCTTGCGGCGCGCATACTCTCATTATCATTAATTACTTATTTGGACATTGTCTTTAGCTAATGCCAGATACTAAAAATGGAGAAAATTCAGGAAACGGCGATTGTCAGATCCGAGTATTTCCGCATCTCGGCAGATGTATAACGCCAAAATTGTCAACGATTACCGTGCAAGTTACATATACTGTATATACTACGCTTCTAATATAGCATCATCACATTAAATTACTTGCAATAGAATTTATAAGTATGTTCGTCAGAAATATATTAAAAAATTGGCCTTTGGAATTACGTAAGGTGCACAAACGTAAGATCCAACTATCTATCCATATATCCAAATCTACTTCCCTCTTTTTTAACGCAGTTCTTCCCATGTAAATACTATAATTGAAATCTATTGTTCACCATTCTACAAGCATAATTGTTTTAGCTAATGGAATAACGGCTCGAACAATTACTAATTGATTCACAAACATTCTGTTGCTGCGACATTCTTGGAATGTACGAGAGAACATACTGTAGATAATTACTGTGCTACTGCCTGGAACGCTCTTCATTGGTTATCATTACGATATAATCACTCATAATTATTTTTATTAGCTCGGATCGCTTTTTTCCCCCCTCATTCCGATAGCATTAATGGCGTTGCTAATTGCAAGTATCAAATAAGCAAAATAAGCGCTTATTTGCAAAATGTGAAAGTCTTGTTCTTATCAATTGCTATACACATGAATAGAGTTTGAATACACCATTCAGGCAGGATGACGTATAAACCAACCAATGAAAATAAACTTTCACAAACCTGCGCCAGAATCTGGGATAAGATGGTTACCTGATAGCAATTTGTGTGTAGTTTAGTCTGGAAGTTTTAATTTATAGATTATGTCTTATCAGTGATTTAAATTTATTTGATAATACAAAGCACGTGTTTGTATCCTTAGAGTCCGGGCCGCCAAGCGTTTATTTGATATATCACACAAAAAGAACTGGGTCATAAAGTTTAACGTAACTGTTTTTTATTGTTGTCTTTTTTTTTTATTTATTTTTACTGCAATGTTGTGTCTTAATATCTCCCTATATTGCAAACAATTTCCTTTTACGATTGAATGCTTTTAAACAAGACAAAGACTTGGCGTACACCATCCGGTTGAAACGGTCGGTTACCACAACAAAAAACTGTGCCCTGTTGGACGAAATGTGTATATATGGATTTATTAATTTTATGCTATGGATTTGAGTTCGTACTTGCGAATTTTTGTGCTTTATCGATTACCTTGTTTAGAAACTCTTATTATTAAGCAGACAAACGCCAACATTATGTAACAAAGTAACAATCCTGCCTATCAGCCTATAGGTTCAGTTCATACACACTTGTTCTACGTTACTCCAAAAAAAACCCAGTCGTGTTAATATCTCGAGGCAACGATCTCTCCGGTCTTGAAATTATCTCTCTCCGAAAAAAAAAAAATGTCGTTAGTTCTACCTCCACCCGTTGATATTTCTGCCAAGGCCCTATCAATTCCTATTATGTGGATTCCTCCGAAAGAGATTACCGATGTAGTCTTAACTCAAGATGGTAACCAAACCGTCTACCGTGGCGTGCTGCGACAAAATGAACAAAATGAACTGGTGGTGATGATATTTCTTGGAACTAGTAATGAATGGACACAGGAGGTTATTGATAGATTTCTTATAGCTTATTCGCTTCCAACGAGCGAGTATAACAATCAGAATATCAGTCGGTTTAAAAGATATTCGGCCTTGCTTGAGAATCGTAACAAATTAGTACGAGGATATACCCAGTATAACGACGGCGCCTACTATCTGGTGGTCAACCAAAAATTTCACTCTCTTTGTTCATTATGGGGATTTTGCTCTAACTGTGGCAGACTCAGATGCAGTCCAGTGTGGTGTATTTGCAAGCATAAAGAATTATCCGTTTGGACAAGCAACAATAAGGAACTCAATGAGTTTATTAAGAAATCGCAAATACAAACAACATCAGCAAATGAAGCCTACTTGGAATGGATTCCATTCGTTAATTTAAATCAAAGCTCTGCAGACTCGGATACATATTGGCATGACATGTATCCTCATGCGAGTTTGGAATTGATTCCAATCGACATAACAGGGAATAAGGTAAATGTTTATTTTTTTAATGGTTACAAATATATCGTAGAATTTGATTTAACATAACGATAAATTTTGTTAGTTCTGCGATCCAAATTTGCTTGACCAAAAAAACACTTGGACTACTATTGGTTTTACATATTCAAAAAGTATATCAAGATATGCCTTAGTTAAAGTTAAATCAATATCAAATTTTAATAAGGATGGCTTATGTCTGGCATGCACAAAATACTTGGACTCAAGAATAAGTCCGTTTTGTTTTAGTTGCAAAGCACTGAGTCCTCCAACTTGGGCAAGTGGCAATGAATCCCTAGACAAGTTTATAATGAACTCATGGAAAAGAGTAACAGATTTAAATGATGATTTTGTAAGATGGATTGAATTCTCTCAATTGAAAGATGTAAAAGAGACAACATCATATAACTATCAATGTGTGTATACAGCTGTTTGGTCAGAACCAAAAGAAAATGAGGATGCATCAATTAATGTAATACTCAAAAAAGTGGCTGATGGATGTGATGCCGAGTTATTTGATTTTTATGAGGTAAAAAGCTTTTCATATAGGTTAAAGTTGTTGTTGTGTTTGTTGGTATATTCACTTACTAATTTTAGGAATTATTGTATTGTTTGCTAACTTAGTTAACTGATGCTTACCCAGAAATATTAACCCCAAACAATACATGGATTATTGGCATTACACAAAAACCAGCTTGTCGAAACTATTTTTTGGTATTATACCAAGATATACGTCCAATTTTGGAGAGATTTGTACACAGAAATCATTTAAAATTTATAGATTATGGCGACTTTTGTGAGTTTCAAAGGATTGGTTCTGGTGGTTATGGAACAATCTATTCCGCCAAGTGTAAAGAGTCTTCATTACAACAATATGAGCGCGTCACTCTAAAACGTTTCAAACAGTTTAAACTGATGCCAGAGTTATTTATTTCTGAGGTAAGCAATATAATACATGTAGCTGCTTCTTTTTTTCTTTTTTGAAACCCATATTTTAACCATTATTACTACTTTCATGATGATAGCTCAGGAATCATGTTGCTTGTAGTGATTTCTACTTTTTGAAAATTTTTGGAGTCACACTAGACCCAACTACAGAAACATATATGATTGTATTGCAATATGCTAATGATGGTAATCTTTTGGATTACTTGGTCCGAAATATCACGAAATTGACATGGGCAATGAAGTTAAAGTATTTGTGGAGTATTGCACTCCACCTTACTACGATTCACAAGCAAGATTTGATCCATTGTGATCTGCATGGCGGGAACATAGTTTTCCACAAGAATAAGAGTGAAGAAGAAAATTATGCTTATCTAAGTGATCCGTTCATATGCGATCTTGGACGTGCCAGATCGGAGAAGGAAGACCAATCAGACACGCTTCGAGGTGTCTTGCCCTATATTGCACCAGAAGTTTATCACAACTACACATTTACCAAGGAATCCGATATATATGCTTTTGGTATCCTTATATATCAACTTGCCAGCGGTGAGCCACCCTTCAGGAATCACGATTTTGATGAAGATTTGGTATGTGAAATTATGAATGGGCTGCGACCAGAAATGCCTGATTCAGCACCAGAGGAATACAGGAAACTTGCAGAGTGGTGTTGCGATGCTGATCCGAAAAAAACGCCCGACTACCTCGAAACTCAATTTTTATATTGGGGATCTTATTGCTAAAGCGCGCGGAACTGTTGCGTGGGATAATATTTATTACAAGCACGTAGAACCCTTATCATCCAGCGAGAAGGAGAACAAATACTCCAGTAAACTGTTACCTACAGGGAGACATTTACCTAAACCTAGGAACAAGGACGATGATAATGAGCCGGTATGGACTTGCAGTATGTTTATGTTGGATGGCTTGACGCTAATTCTCAATACTAATATAATACTTTTTATTAAATTCTCATGAACCAGGAAACCGAAACTTAAATTACTTTCTGGCTCTCTATACATTGTACTATTTAATCCAAATCATAATATCTACGAGATGTAAGCATATATTTACTGCCTTTCGTATCAAAAAGTATTGTAAAATGTGGTGGCTGTTTTCTATTTATTTATCTTTTTTTTTGCGATAGCAAAATTATAAAAATCTTTTGACTAAATGTCACAAAATTAGCATTACTATATATAGCATTATAAATTGATATGTATTTTATTATTTTATAAATACAAAAATAAGCATTACTATTACTATACGTAGTACTATAAATTGATATGTACAATATTTTATTATTTTATAAATCAAAATAAAATATTTTATGATTTCAAAACGTCCCCACAACGAGTATGATTTGTATAC